TAAGAGCACTGCCTGCTCTTCCAAAGGTCCTGAGTTCAATTCCCGGCAACCACATGGTGGCTCACAACCATCTGTAATGAGGTCTGGTGCCCTCTTCTGGCCTGCAGGCACACACACTGACAGAATATTGTATACATAATAAATAAATAAATAAATAAATAAATAAATAAATAAATAAATAAATAAATAAATATTTAAAAAAAGAAAAAGAAAGAAAAATTCACTTCTTCCCTATTCCTCCCTCCCCCAATACTGGGAATTGAATCCAGAGCTTTGTGAGGGCTGACAAGCACTTTACCAGAGAGTTTTTTTCCTCCATCCCTTTTCACTCTGTGTGGTTTAAGATTTAAGTTTGACTTGGGAGCCTGAGGCAGAGGGATTTTCATGAGTTTAGTACCTGGGCTGTAGAATGAGAGACCTTGTCTCAAAGCAAAACAAATATTTTCAAAGGCTTAAATCTGATTCTATACGTGACAAAATCATGTGTTGCTCACAGTGATTGTTTATTATTTATTATGTGGGGTCCGTGACCCAGCTCATGGTTACTTGTCTTTTCTTGTGTGGTGGCTTAGTGAAGGATTCTTTGTGTCTCTTGAGGCAGAAAAGGAGATGAATAACAGAAAAGAGAGTCTCCCAGACTCCTGAGCCTTCTAGAGAAGCAGTTGACAGGAAGGAGGGATGACCTGAGACCCACACCTCTGTGTCTTACCTTCCTGCAGCCTTGGGGAGCAGTACTACAAAGATGCCATGGAACAGTGCCACAATTACAATGCCCGCCTCTGTGCTGAGCGCAGTGTGCGCCTGCCTTTCTTGGACTCCCAGACCGGAGTAGCCCAGAGCAATTGTTATATCTGGATGGAAAAGCGACACCGTGGACCAGGTAAGGTTGCAGGCTTCAGGAAAGTAACTCAGGAGCATGAGGAAGTGTCTTTTTTCACCTAGGAGACAGGGTAGTGTGAAGTCCTCTGCTGCTCACACCAGTAGATCAATATGGTCTCAGGATAAGTGGGGAGGAGGAAGCAGCACCTTTGTTTTCTGGTCTCACAAGTGTAGGTAGATTTTTCTTTGGGACACCAGTTCACAAAACTAACATGGAGACTTATTAATTATAAAAACTCGGCCTTAGCTTACGCTTGTTTTTAACTAGTTCTTAAAATTTAAATTAGCCCCTATCTTTTAATCTGTGTTCTTTTTCATAGCCCAGTAACCTTTACTCTGTACTGCCCATCCTGCCTTCTTCTCAGAATCCTTTCTCTGTCCAGAAGTCCTGCCTACCTCCTACCTAGCTATTGTCTGTTTAGCTTTTTATTAAACCAATCACAGTGACAATCTTCACAGTGTAAAGGAATATAGGACAACACCAAAGCAAGTATGGTCTTCCTGGCACTTAAGTTCACATCTGTTTGTCTTTTCTGTTAAATAGCCCACCCACCCCAGGCTCACGTGTTCAGTATTACTCCTTTGCTCTAGAGCACAACAGAGCTCTCATCCACAGAACATTTGCTATTGTTTTCTAGGGCTGGATTAGGGTTTGTTGCTCTTCCTTCCACAGGATTGGCCTCTGGACAGTTGTATTCCTACCCTGCCCGGCGCTGGCGGAAAAAGCGTCGAGCCCACCCACCTGAGGATCCCAGGCTTTCCTTTCCGTCTATTAAACCAGGTAAGGACTGGAGATCTTAAAGCTCAGCTGCTGGAGTGCTCGCTCAGCATGCACAAGTTTGATCTCCAGCATAAACTGAACATGGCTGTGTATTCCTACATAATCACAGCTTTGATGATGTTGAGGCACCAGGATCAGAAATTCAAGGTCATTTTCTGCTAGTGGGAGTTTGAGGCCAGCCTGGGCTACCTGAGAGCTTCAAAATTAGAAACATGAAATTAGCACTGGGGAGGCAGAGACAGGTGGATCTTTGTAGTTTGAGGCCAGCCTGGTCTACATAATAAGTTCCAGGACAGCCAAGGCTACACAGAGAAACTGTCTTGGAAAAACAAAGCAAAACAAACATGAAATTATTTCAAAATAATATAAGCTGGAAAGATGGCCCAGTGCTTCTTGTATAAACACAAAGCCCTAAATTCTAATCTGTCATTCATATAAAAAACTGGTGTGGGGCTGGAGTGATGGTCCAGAGGTTAAGAGCATTGCCTGCTCTTCCAAAGGTCCTGAGTTCAATTCCCAGCAACCACATGGTGACTCACAACCATCTGTAATAGGGTCTGGTGCCCTTTTCTGTCCTGTAGGAATACACACAGACAGAATATTGTATACATAATAAACAAATAAATATTAATTTAAAAAAAAAACTTGGTATGGCCAATCTGTTTCTGTAATCCCAAAACTATAGAGTACAGAGCTAGGCTTACTAGCAGCCAGCTTAACTCAGGGTTGGGTGAAAAACTCCAGGGACTAAGGCAGAATGTGATTGAGCAGGACACCCAATGTCCTTTTCCAACATGTGTACCCACACATGTTCCTATACCATGCAGACATATACCACACACATGCGCACAAAGTTAAATAAATAAAATAATCAAGAGTGAGTAAATAAACCAAGTAAGGGGCCTACTTCCTAAGCAGAACCATGGTCTATTGCATGGGAAGAGACTTGCTGATCACTTGCTAGTCCCAGGCTCTGTGTTAGCTCTTGCCCGTACTAAAGTAAATGAGGTATGATTTCATCCTTCAAAGAACTCGCTGTGTTAGGAGAAACAGGTAAGTAGCTGTAATCCAGTCCTGGCTGAACCAAGATATCTTAGTTCCTGTAAGACAGCAGTTAGTGGCTGACTTTGACTTGGCCCCATATCGTGTAGGCTCTGAGTTAGCCTTTCTGAGCTTGCTTCATCCTGATTTGTTTCAGACACGGACCAGAGCCTGAAGAAAGAGGGACTTATCTCTCAGGATGGCAGCAGTTTAGAGGCTCTGTTACGTACTGACCCCCTGGAGAAGCGAGGCGCTCCAGATCCCCGTGTTGATGATGACAGCCTGGGAGAGTTTCCTGTCACCAACAGTAGAGCGCGGAAGGTCTATTATCCCTATGGCTAGAGGACTTTAATAAGGACCAGCTTCCTCTTTATGGGTGGAGAGGGTGCACTCAGTTAGCAGAATTGACAGAGCCATGGTAGAACACTTGCTTGGTGCTATGTAAACCATAGCACAAAAGATAGAAACAGAAGCTGAGGCGGCCCTGTGGCTGTGCTGGCCCCCGGCCCTGCTGCCTGCTCTTTGACACTCCTTTCCCCTCTCAGTAGAGGCTCACTCACTCATTCTCTTCTACACGAGAATTTTGCAAGAGACTTTAGGTGTCTGGTGTTATATAGGTGAAGCACACCTGGTTCCCAGCTATCAGCTGGGAAGTTAATGCTAAGTTTAAAGATGAGAAGAGCTACAGAGAAGCCAGGTACTGTGCTAAGTTTTTCCATATGCTTCCTTCTGTACAGCCATCTGAGGTAGGTCCTGTGGTTCCTAGTTCACGGACAGGAAGGCAGACGCAAAGCAGTTAAAACTTCCCTCAGGGTCACACAAGTAAGCAGCAAAGCTCACTTAAACTAGGAATGGGTATTAAAGCAGAGCAGACAGGACAGGGCATGGCTGCCTGGGGTACCAGGGAGAGCTCTGGAAACAGATGGGGGAAAGCAACTTGAGGAGGCTCAGAGGAAAGAAAGCACTAAAGGCAGCAGGAGTGGGATTGCAAGGCGAAGAATGATTATGGGTGAGGTTAAGCCCCAGAGAAGCTTCAGAGTAATTCAGGTGGTTAATTCTACGTCATGAGGGAGCTTTTGGATGTGTTTGATTTCTGCTCATTCAAATCTTCTGGTACACTCAGCGGATCCTGGAACCTGATGACTTCCTAGATGACCTTGATGATGAAGACTATGAAGAAGATACTCCAAAGCGTCGGGGGAAGGGGAAATCCAAGGTGAGGAGCCAGTGTGCTGCCTGAAAGTTGTAGCCCTGGAGGTCCAGGCTTTATTTCTTGGGGTTCCCTTGCTATTCTGGCCTAGGCACCTTAGTAATGGCATTGTCTTTTTGCTGTTGTCAGAGTAAGGGTGTGAGCAGTGCCCGGAAGAAACTGGATGCTTCCATCCTAGAGGACCGGGATAAGCCCTATGCCTGTGACAGTGAGTGCCTCCTAAGGGGTGGGTAGTTCTTCCTTGGACCCAACCCCTGCCCTGGATGTAAGAGTAAGGGGGCCATGCTCTTGCATTGGATGATAAAAATAAGCCTGGGTTCTTGTCCTGCCTGCCAACCTCTGAGAAGCCCTGGCCTTTGCTTCACAGTGGGTGGGACCTGCATGCTCTGGGAGAGATTTCTGTGGCTCCTGGGGTGGGAGGATGAGGGAACTCAACAGCAGACAGGGTTGGCCTCACAGTGGGCAGCATCCAGATCTGCTGACCCATCAAGGCAGGGCACAGGGGGCCAGCCCTGAGGGTCAGTGTCTGTCCTCTTTCCCTTTGCTTTGGCTCACCCTACTTCCGTGGCCTCCAGCCTATAGCACTGCTGCTGGGGTTCTCTCTCACTTGCTCTGTTTTCCTGCTGCTGCTGCTGCTGCTGCCGCTGCCCTGTCTCAAATGTACCAAGGCCTTCTTCTCATGACTTTTCTTTCTGTCTTTCAGATAGTTTCAAACAAAAGCATACCTCGAAAGCGCCCCAGAGAGGTAGCTCTCTCAACTTTTCAGACTTGTGGTTTTCCTGTCCCTTTCCCCTCTTCCCTTGTTCCTCCTGCCTTTCTCATTTCCTGTGATGCTAGCTTTGGAATCTCTGCAATGGTATGACGGAAGTGCTGTGGAACCCCGATTGTGCTCCACTCTCTGGGTCCTAGCAGCTGTCTTTATAATTGCCTATCTCCCTTAGACTTACTTATATAGCCATTTGGCTTAGTATGTGGGGTAGCTCCAAAGTCTTAACAGAAACCCATTATGATAGACTCATCTGATGCTCCCCAAAACAGACACCAGGTGGTCAGCTAATGTTCCCACCATCATACCCTCACCTCCTCCCATCCTCATTCCTTCCTGCTGGCCCCCTTGCCCCTCTTGGTGTCATCATTCAAGATAAGATACCATGAATATTTCCTTGCTGGTTGGCAGGGGCTGGGCAGAACACTAGTATGGGAGTATATTTCAGATTCTTTGGGGACAGTTATCCTGACTGCTCAGTTGGTAGGTGTTCCCCCAGAGACCCACCCTCAGCCCTTTGCCTATTCTTTTTTTGGGGTGGGGGGTTCGAGACAGGGTTTCTCTGTGGCTTTGGTGGAGCCTATCCTGGAACTAGCTCTGTAGACCAGGCTGGTCTCGAACTCATAGAGATCTGCCTGCCCCTGCCTCCTGAGTGCTGGGATTAAAGGCGTGCCTTTGCCTATTCTTTTTGCTGCATGATATTCATGGGATGGCATGAGTGCGCCACACGTGCACAGCAGAAGAAGTCTGACATCTTGTTACTTTCCCCCTTTCCTATAAGGAAGACCATAGAACTTTCCCGACCTGGAGCTCCCAGACAGTTGCTCTTCCCAGGACAAGTGTTGCAACATGGGCTGAGTCTTTCCAAAAGCTGACATGAAAAATATTTGTAGCTGTGGGATTGTGATGTAAGGAGGGAGGAGAATCCTAGAAACTGGAGAGGTCCAGTACCTGCTGCTCTTGGCTAAGGGGAAGCAGCCATCTTAAGGTTTTTCCCGGATTAGAGATGCTGGGGACAGGTGTTTTCCATAGGCCTCAGGTGTTGCTTACAGCTTGTCAGTAAGTAGCACCTTCACGTCCTAACATTGCTCTGCAATCTTCTTCACCCAGTTTGTGGAAAACGCTACAAGAACCGACCAGGCCTCAGTTACCACTATGCCCATTCCCACCTGGCTGAGGAGGAAGGAGAGGACAAAGAAGACTCTCAGCCACCCACTCCTGTTTCCCAGAGGTCTGAGGAGCAAAAATGTAAGCTGAGGTCAGGGTGGGCAAACAGGAGAGGTGCCAGCCTAGTTATAGACACCCCCTTGTAGGGAATGTGGGGTGGGTAATCCAGGTTTCCCTTGATCATCATCAAAATTTCTTTCTTTTCCCCCCTGTAGCCAAAAAAGGACCTGATGGTTTAGCCCTGCCCAACAACTACTGTGACTTCTGCCTGGGGGACTCAAAAATCAACAAGAAGACAGGACAGCCTGAGGAACTAGTGTCCTGCTCTGACTGTGGCCGCTCAGGTACTCCGTTTTCAAAGAGCAGGCTACACTCAGTGCCCAAGAAGCCCTTGGCCTGCTTACTCCAGTGCCGTCAGGCAGGCAGCCTCCCTTAGTCCTTCCCCACCCTGTTTTCCAGCCACTTGTTTGACTCCCCTCCCCCACAGGGCACCCGTCCTGCCTGCAGTTCACCCCTGTGATGATGGCAGCTGTGAAGACCTACCGCTGGCAGTGCATCGAGTGCAAGTGCTGCAACCTCTGCGGCACCTCGGAGAATGACGTGCGTGCCGCCCTCTCAGCCGCCCGGCTCTCCTCAGCCTTCTCCAAAGCAAGCTTTCTGTCAGAGCAAGCAAGGGCCTCCCAGATGTTCTCCCCTAACTACCCCTGGGAACTCTACACTTGCTTAAGAAAAATCTGTTTCCTGAGCAGTAACAGTCAGTGTTCTTGGCTCGCAGGTCACTAAATAAGACAGAGAAGACCGTGCTTTCGTAGAATCTGTGTACTTGGGGTAACAGAGTTGTATAGGATATGATATGCCTTGGAGAAAATGAAACTAGTGATGAGCCAAAGAGTTAACTGGATACTGGTAGAGGTTTCTAGTTAGATTTGCTTTTGAAGGAAATGAGGTTGATGTTGGAGTTTTGATAATACAAAGAGCAGTCCAAGAAGGTATGGAGTGAGTGTATTTCCAATAGCTAGTGCAGAAACCTCAAGGTGGGCAGGCTGACAGTAATGAGACCATTGCTACGTACTAGATCTTCTGTGTGGGGGGAGGTGGATCAGAGAGGTATCTTGATCTATGGGGTCTTGGGTCCTTTTATGTACTTTGCCACTGAACCCCCCCCCCCCCCCCCCCCCCGTGATTGGACCTTGGGGATGTTGTCAGAGGCCACCTTTTATTAAGGGAATGATATGTTCTGTCATATATTTTCAGACAGCCTTGTAAAGAAGAGATTGTAGGGAAATAGTAGGCTTTGTGATCAGTTGAGATGGTCAGATCCTATATCTGGATGTTCTTAGCAGCTACCGTCCCTCTAGGAAATAACAACAGTGTCATAAGTTAGGTACACAAACCGTTGGATCCCTTTTCTTTCTCCTTGCCTTCTGTAGGACCAGCTGCTTTTCTGTGATGATTGTGACCGTGGCTACCACATGTACTGTCTCACCCCATCCATGTCTGAGCCTCCTGAAGGTAAGTGGCCCAGATCTACTCAAAATATTTTATCCCAGAAGGACCCATAACACCCAAAGAAAACATTGACAGTGAAATTTGTGACTTGTTATAGATCTGTAATTGTGTGGGTTTCAGCGTTCAAATACCCATAGATTCATATACAGAATAGATTTCATAATAAAGCGATATGTTGTGGATTTAAAAAAAAAATTAGTAACTCAGACAATCACCTGAATTGTAAATACTGAGAGTCTCTGATAACACTGAAAGCAAGGTTTAGTTCAGTACATTTTGTTGTTTTTGTTTATTTTGTTTGTTGTTTTTGTTTTTGAGACAGGGTTTCTCTATGTAGCCCTGGCTGTCCTGAAACTTTCTTTATAGTCCAGGCTGGTCTCGAACTCAGAGATCCGCCTACCTCTGCCTCCCAAGTGCTGGGATTAAAGATGGGCATCACCACTGCCCAGCACAGCATTTTAGTTTGAAGAATTTAATGTTTGCATTTTGTCATTAGTAATACTTAGAGATACAGAAAATTCCCAACATGAAAAAGAACTATGCTGAGCAGAGAACAGTTACCACGAGAAAATTGTCTTCTTCCTTCGGGTAGTCCAGAAATTCAGTTGGCAGTTTGACCTGACACCTCTGGTGTTGCTCTCCCTCTCTGATGGATTGCTTCTTTCCTCTCTTCTCCATTTGTTTTGCTTGTTTTCATTCCTTTGGGTTTTTTTGTTTTGTTTTGTTTTGTTTTTGTTTTTTTGTAGTAGAGATAGAACCCATGGCCTTGTACATGTTGGCCAAATGCCTTCCCACTGAGCTATATCCTTCTCTTCAACTCTTTTTTTTTGTAAGATTTATTTATTTATTATGTATGCAACATTCCTTCCATGTATGCCTGCATGCCAGAAGAGCAGAAGAGAGCACCAGACCTCACTACAGATGGCTGTGAGCCACCATGTGGTTGCTGGGAATTGAATACAGGACCTCTGGAAAAGCAGTCAGTGTTCTTAACTTCTGAGCCATCTCTCCAGCCCCTCTCTCTCCAACTCTTAAAAAGAAAATTGAGAATGCTATTGCAGTTGAGCCATAGTGCTTGTGGAGAGGTCAGAGGACAGCATTAACATTTGGAAGTCAGGTCTGCTTTCACCCTGGGTTCTGGGGATCAAACTCCAGTCCTCAGGCTCTAAACTTCTCACTGTTCCCACACTTGTATTTTTTGAATAGAGTCTCACTAAGTTGCCTGAGCTAGCCTCGAGCTAGCTCTGTAGCCCAGGTTAGCCCTTGAACTCGCAGTCCTCCTGTTTCAGCCTCTAGAGCAACTGGGTTAGTTTTAGTGGAACCGTGTGTCTTTGGGAAACTAATAAAAGATATTTCCTCTGGAGTACTGTCCTAACAACATACATAATTTATGCTTATGAATTTTAAACATTAAGAACTAGTTTTGTCCTGGGCAGTGGTGGCACATGCCTTTAATCTCATCACTGGGAGGCAGAAACAGGTGGATCTCGGTGAGTTCAAGACCAGCCTGGTCTACAAAGCAAGTTAGTTCCAGGACAGCTAAGACTGTTACACAGAGAAACCCTGTTTTGAAAAAACCAAAACAAAACAAAACTTGCGTCTTGGCTGGCAAGATGGCTCAACAGGTAAAGGCATTTGTAACCAAGCCTGGACAACCTAAGTTCAACCCCAAAAACATGGTGCAAGGATAGAACTGATTTTCACATGCATGGTATGGTGCATTCCACCCCATCAGTAAATAAATGTAGTGAGATACAAATACACAAAACACTCGTGTCTGCCCAGACTGTCCTTTGAGTCCCAGGGCCACTGAGGAGACAGGATATTCTGAGCATCTGTTTGGGCACTGTCCTCCCACTTAGTATTACCTTTATCTCCATGGATGTTTAATTTTTGTTTTTAAGATGCATTTATTAGTCTATGTATCAGTATTTTGTCTGCATATGTGTCACTGCACTACATGAGTGCCTGGTGCCCTTGGAGGTCAGGAGTGAGCATCAGATCCCCTGTAACTGGAATTACAGATGGTTGTGAGCCTCCATTGAGTGCTGGGAGCTGAAGCCAGATCCTCTTAACTTCTGAGTAGTCAGCCTCTCCAGTTCCAGTTTTCATAGTTTTGAAGACCAAGAAATTCTTAAGCTCAGGATAGCTATGAAGCTACAGCTGCAGAACTTACCCTGTCCTGCCTGGGGAGAGGTGTTAAGAGTGGGAAGACAGCAGATGGGAATCTGGTAGGATCCACCCTGACCCTCTACTTCTCTGTAGGAAGCTGGAGCTGCCACCTGTGTCTGGATCTGCTGAAGGAGAAAGCGTCCATCTACCAGAACCAGAACTCCTCCTGATGTGCAACCCAGCTCCTCACACATCTAAGGCTGTTGCTCTCCTCCACCTTGGTTTTCATGCCCCTCCTCCTTTTCTTTCATTCTGGTAGTCCTGCCAACCTGCCTTTGGCAACATTGCAGGGAGGTGGCAACTCTTGACTGCCTCTGGCCCCATGCCCTCAGGGAGTAAGGAGCAGCACGCTGCCCCAGGACTGACCTGTGGGCCCAACTTCTCTCTGCTCTCCAGGAAGTGCATTCACTCTGCTTGCCTTGGCCAAGTCCCTGGTAATCACAGGGTTCAGATGGGGTCCTCTGAGGAGGAATATGAGAGCAGCTCACTTGTCTCAGGCCTAGCTTAGCCCCCCACCTCGGGTTTCCAAAAGCCCCAGGGGTAAGCTAGGCCTGGCCTTTGCTAGGAGCAACTGGAGTGATCAGGCTGAAGTGGCACTTGTTAGGACCTTTTCATACCCCTTGTTCTGCTTCACTTTGCCTCTGCCAAAGCAGTCCTCTGTCCTCTGTTTTGCTTCATGGGTCCTGTGCTCGAAATGGGATGCTCTCAGACACCGTCTGGCTCTGTCCTGTCCTTCCTAGTCCCAGAGACAAGCAGCTGCACCTGTTTTTCCTGCGCTTGGCTGACTCATCCACATTTCCCATCCTCAGAACTTCGTGTCTTCTGCCTCCTTCCTTATTCCCTTTTGTTTTGTGGGGAGAGGGACAATGTCAGTGGCTGTGCCAGCAGCTTGGGGGCCACAAGGAGAAGTTGGATAATGTGCCTGTTTTTTAACTCGATAAAAAAGCCTACCTCCAAAATCCCCTTTTCATTCTTCCTGGACCTGGACATTCAGCGTCCTGCCCTTAACTGAATCAGGAGCCTTTGCCTCCTGCCTGTGTATCCTGGCTCTTGGGTCACAGGGAGGTCCCCATTCCTTGCATGCTAGCTAGCAGCTGGTAAAGTCTTCACACCCTGATTTTTCTGTTTCCTGCTTAGTGGCACTGACATTAAGTAGGAGGGAACAGTCCATGCCAGGACACTCTGGAATGGCCTTCCTCCTAGGCTTGTGGGCAGGCCCTAACTGTTGTTTTCTGCAAAGTTGAGGCCCCCTCCTCCCATCTTTAGTTCCTGTATTCAAATCATTAGTAAAAATAAACATTTTTACACAGAGCACTCTGAATGATGGTTTGTCTCCTGACTGGTGGTTGAAAAGCCATTTCATTTCACTTCAAATTTACTTTCTTTAATTACAGTGGGTTTTTGAAAAATTGAAACAACCACAAAATTTTTGCTGAGCTCCGCCATAAAATTTTGTTAGTTTTGATAAATATTTAAGTTTACAACAATTTATTGTTATTTTAAAAAGCTGTTAATACAAAAATTGAGTTAAAATCAACTTTAGCACCCTTATTTATTTCTGTGCTTTGGCTGGTTAGAAGATATGTAGTTGGAAGTGTGGTGAACCTATGGCGTTGTGATGTGGATGTTTAAAGTGGGCCCAGAAGCTTGTTCGTGGTATAAATTCAAAGAATTATCTGGGCGGTGGTGCACACCTTTAATCCTAGAACTCAAGAGGCAGAGGCAGGTGGATCTTTGTGAGTTCGAGGCCAGCCTGATCTACAAAGCAAGTTCCAGGATAGCCAGGGCTATTACGTAGAGAAACCCTCTCTTCAAACAAACAAAAGTCACAGGGTTAAAAGCAGAGAGAAGTGGTAGCTCAGCAGGGAAGAGGAGTTCTCACTGCTTTTGCAGAGGACCAAGTTCAGTTCCTTACAGCTTAAAACCACCACGTAACTAACTCTGGTTCCAGCTGATCTGATTCCTTTGGCCGGGTTGGTCACCGGCACTCACGTGCATAGTGCCCACCCATCCACAGCTACGTACATGGAACTAGTAATGTCATCATGGGACAGGAAAGCTTTTGGACAGAAGATGAGGGCAGCCAGGAGGACAAATCTCAGTCTTCTCATCTGATGGACCTTCTCATTGCCTGCAGTACTGCCGAGCCAGAGCAGGGATCCAGGACCAGAACTGTCCAAAGTGTAGCTTCCCAGCATTCCCAGGGTGTTTATATGCCGACAGTAAGTTGCTCCAGTCCAACTAAGTACTTTGCTATTACATAATGGATCTTGTATAAGCTCAGGAGTATATATGGACTTTGTAAAACTTAACATGAGTTGACAGTGTTAGCACAGACTTTTAGTCCCAGTGTTCCAGAGAGGCAGTGGCAGGTGGATCTTGAGCTCAAGGCTAGACTCTGCAACAGAGAATTTCAGGACAGCCAGGCTGCATAGGGTGACTCTATTTTAAGAAAAATGTACAGGTATGTGCACCTCAGTGCAGAGATCATGATGAAGGAATCAGATCCCCTGGAATGGAATTATAAGCAATTTTGAGCCACTGAAGTGGGTGCTGGGAACTGAACTGTGATCTTTGTGGGATTGTTTTGGTTGGTTGATTTTGTTTTGAGTGTTTTGCCTACATGTATGTCTGTGTACCAAGTACACAAGATAGCCTCGACTGGAGTTAAACATGGCTTTAAGTCACCATATAGGTTCTGGGAATCAAATCCAAATCCTTTGGAAGAGCAGTCACCAACCTGGGTTTTAGATTCTGTAACTGGGAGCTGGCTCAGCCAATAAAAGTACTTGCCATGTAATCCTGACCATGTGAATTCTGTCCCAGCATCCCAGATAAGTTGCTGGATGCTGTGTTGTGTGTCTGTTATCTCAGTACTAAAGGGACATGGGAAGTGGAGATAGAATCTGCGGAAAGCTTCATATCCAACTGGGTTGGAGTATGCCACACTGCAAAACCTACCTCAACAAGGAAGGAAAACTCCCGCCAGGCGGTGGTTGCTCGTGCCTTTAAATTCAGCACTCAGGAGGCAGAGGCAGGCAGTTTGATGCCAGCCTGGTCTACAAGAGCTAGTTACAGGACAGGCTCCAAAGCTACAGAGAAACCCTATTTCAAAAAAAAAAAAAAAATCTATCTGAAAGGTTGTCCCCTAATTTCCACACCAGTACCATGGCATGTGTGGGGAAAAGCATGACACACATATTTGATACCGTTTTTTGTTTTTGAGTTTTTGCCATGTAGCCTAGGATGTCTTCAAACTTGTGATCCTGCCTCATCCTCCTTGAGTTCTGGTATTACAAGCATGAGTCTCATGCCTGGCTTTTTTTTAAGATTTTTTTTTTACTTATTAAGTATGCAGTGTTCTGTCTGCATGTATGCTTGCACAAACAGAGGAGGACACCAAATCTCATTACAGATGGTTGTGAGCCACCATGTGGTTGCTGAGAACTGAACTCAGGACCTCTGGAAGAGCAGCCTGTGCTCTTAACCTCTGAGCCATCCCTCCAGTACCTACCCCTTCTTTTTTCTTAAAGATTCAGTTAAATACTTAATGTGTCACCAGAAGTGTCCTCAGATTTTCCTGGTACATCCTGAGGTCATTGTTGCCGATAGAAAAGCTGAGCCCTGTGCTGCTTCTGCATTCGGTAGATTGGCAGAGTGGACTCTGAGGAGATTTGCACTGCCTGTCCTGCTAAGTAGGGCAGGAGTAGAGAGAGTCAGGCAACTGAGGACCAAAAAAGAAAAAAATCTGCAAGTGAGACCACTGAAATAGACTTCATCAGAGACACTTGAAGAGACTGAAAATACAGAAAAGTGGGGTCCTGGCTGTAGGGGCAGGGAGGCTAAGATGTCTACACCTAATTCAGGACAAATATTACAAAGGAGGGAAATGACTGGTATAGGAACCTAGATCTTGCCATGAGGCACCAAAACTGTTAAAAAAAAAATGCGTCCTTTTTCGCCACCTCAGGTCTGGCGGCCTCTGTTTTATAGCTGGTTGGTGAGCCCGAAGGTCAGCCAGCGCTGTCCATGGTAACTTGGTTTTGTGGCGTAAAGCTTACATCCGTTCGTTTTCTTATTTCATCGTGTTTCCAAAACAACTCCAGGAAGGCCGGTATCCCTGCTTGGTACCCAGTGGGAATGGCGTCGAAGCCACCTGGGTCACCGCCTTGGGACGCCGGTCGCCTAGAATCAGGCACTAAGGCCGAGTCCTCCCACCAGACCCTCGCTCGGGCTCCCGCCCTTCACCGCAGGAAGCTCCTCCCACAGAAGGCCGACGAACCGCCACTCCTCGGCGTCCAATGAAATACAGCCTGAGGCGGGACAAGTGAAACTAGTGGCCAATCAAACTTGCCAAGGCGGGGCTGCCGAGCCGCTGAGCCGCGGTTTTCCCAGCCTTGAGAGAGCCGGGCGCGGGCAGCGCGCGCAGGTCCGTGTTGCGCGCGCGCCCGCCGCCCGTGCTGCTTCCCCCCCGGAGCGCTCTGCCCTTGGGGTCGCGGCACCCGTCCCTCTCTGGTTTTGCTGTAGCCTAGCACACCGAGGCCCGGGAACCGGGCTGGGGCAGGGACGGGAGCCGCGGGACAGCGCCTGGAGGTGGGTGCGGATCGGGAGGCCGGGCTGGCGGGCGGACGGGCTGGGTCAACGCCTGAGTCGGGCTATCCGACTCACCCGGGGTCAAGGCGGGGCGCGCCGGGGCGCAGAGGCCAGCTCTGGGGCTGCCTGCTCCCTACCGCTGCTCCCTGCTCCCTGATCCCTCCAGACTGCCTACCACCCGGGAGGAGATACTCCTCCCCCTTTGGTGCCGGTAGCCTCCTCACCCTGTCGCCCTTTGTCGCCTTGGCACCTTCACTCTCGTTCCTTCCCTTCAGGCTGCTCTATTGACCACACCGCCTCGCCAGCACCAGATTAGACGAGCGCCTTCAGACCCCATCCATCTGGCTTTGTCGTCTGTACCATCTCACCTGTCCACATCAACTCTGTCCATTCAGTCTGCCATCCGCCTCCATTCAACATCGTCATCACAATTCAAGCCAGGCCCTCCTCCCCATCTCCTCTCAGGGGTTTCCTTCCTGGTCACCCTGAATGTCCTCTACACCTGCCTCACTCAGCCTTAGCCCCAGGCCTCGCTGTCATTGCTCCTTTGTTGTCTCTCCAGCTGTCCCCTGGTTGTCCTTAAAGCTGTCCCCTGACCTCTAGTCATCCTTTTACCTCATGAATGCCAAACCCTAGCCCAGAATTCCCATTGCCTCTGGCCAGAGACACCCTGCCAGCTCTGTTCCGGCAGTCTTTAGGATGAGGCCTAGCCTTCTGTCAGCCTGACCATCCCCTTTCTATCCAGCTGGTCTGCTCTGTTCCCACTGATGACTGTGGCCTCGTCTGTCCTGTGCTCTTCTGTCCCTCCTGCCCTCAGCCTATGGGACCCTCATCCTTTTCTTCCCCAGCAGGTGCCCTGGCAGAGTCATGGAGCTGAGCACCAAAAAGAAACTTCACGCCCTGTCCCTGGCTGAGAAAATCCAGGTGCTGGAACTCCTGGATGAGTCCAAGATGTCCCAGTCAGAGGTGGCCCGGCGCTTCCAGGTCTCCCAGCCCCAGATCTCACGTATCTGCAAGAATAAGGAGAAGCTCCTGGCAGACTGGTGTAGTGGCACAGCCAACCATGAGCGCAAGCGGAAGCGCGAATCCAAATACAGTGGAATTGATGAGGCTCTACTCTGCTGGTACCACATCGCCCGAGCCAAGGCCTGGGATGTCACAGGGCCCATGCTGCTCCACAAGGCCAAGGAGCTAGCCGATATCATGGGCCAGGATTTTGTGCCCAGCATTGGTTGGCTGGTCCGCTGGAAACGCCGCAACAATGTGGGCTTTGGGGCTCGCCAGGTCCTTGTTCCTCTGTTCCCTCCTGAACCACCTCCCCCAGGGCTTCCGTCCCAGGCCCAGCCACCACTTTCCCTTAAAGACTTCTCACCAGAAGATGTGTTTGGCTGTGCCGAAGTGCCCTTGTTGTATCGGGCAGTGCCTGGCAGAGTGTTTGCATGTGATCGCTTGCAGGTACTGCTGTGTGCCAACAGCAGAGGCACAGAAAAGCGAAGGGTATTTGTGGGTGGGCTCCAGGCTGTCCCAAGATGCTTCTTTGGAGTCAACAGTGAGGCACTACCTGCCTCTTATCACCCTGATCTAGCCATCCCCTGGTCAGAGTGGCTGGCACAGTTTGACCAGGACATGGGACAGCAGGGCCGACAGGTAGCCTTGCTGCTGGCTGCCGGAGTATTGGAGGAATGGGCCAACCTTCCTGGACTCCACCACGTGCGACTCCTGCCTCTCTCAGCCTCCAGCACCACCCCTTCCCTGCCTGGCTCTGTGGTTTTGGCCTTTAAGGCCCATTACCGTCACCGTCTGATGAGCAAACTGGCTGCCATGCGGAGCGGGAGAGAGGGCACCTCACTGGCTGAAGCGAGGGCCAGCCTCACAGTGTTAGATGCTCTGCATATGGTGGCAGCAGCTTGGGCCAAGGTGCCACCTCAGCTTATTCTGAGCAGCTTCATTCAGGAAGGGCTCACTCCAGGCAAAACACCGCCGTCTCTAGACAAAGACACAGAGATGGCTCTGGTCCCTAGTGTACTGAGTCAGGAGGAGTTTGCCCACTTTGTGGACCTGGAGGATGAGGGCCCAGGCCCTGGGATGTGCAAAGAGGAGACTGGTACTGAAGACAGTGGGAGGGAGGATGAGGGCTTTGAGTCCCTGCCCACCAAAGCTGATGCCCTCAGGGCACTGTGCACCTTGAGGAGGTGGCTTGAATGTAACAGCACCTCTCCAGAGCTCTTTGAAAAATTTTACGACTGTGAGGTGGAGGTGGAGCAGCTCTGCTGTCTGTGAGGAAGCATGGTGGCCTGCAGAATTGCCCTCTCCTGTTTCCCATGGAAACACCTCTCCAGAGGCAGACTGGCTCTTTCCTGTGGAAATAACATGTGGAGGGTGTAGAAGGGAAGGGAGCGTGGACACAGAGTCGAAGGTCAGCATAAAAGTTATTCAAGCCCAGACCCTGGAGTCTCTACAGATGGGGCCTCAAGAATGGGGATCTGGGCTGTGGAGATTCTAGGCGAGCCCTGCAGAGGGTTAGTCTAGAAAGGCCGGAAGTTAGAAAGGTGGACTTCCTAACAGGTGGTCCCAACCCTTAAATTTTGTGTCAAAACCAAGTCTGCTTCTGGAAATAAAGCTTTTAACCAGAAAGGTCAGGGTGTGGATTTTCTTTTTCTTTCTTTTTGAAATGGGGACTCATGTAGTCTGGGCTGACCTTGAACTTGTTGTGTAACTGAAGATATTTTGAATCCCACTGCTTGCCTCCCACTCCCAAGTGCCAAGATTAAAGGGATTTGTCACTGTTAGACCCCAACTCTAGGATGCTAACTCCTCAGGAGGGTCGCCCCAAGAAACCACTCACCAGTCCGGTTGATACAAAAGCAAGAGGAAGTTTATTCTCATTTGTGCAAACGGGCTCCTCAGCCAGGCGAGGGAAAGAAGCCCCGACTAGCTATTACAGGCTACTTTTAAAGGCAAAAAAACACATGTTCAGGGAGGTGGGTATAGTGGGTTGTTTGTCAAACACAGGGATTGGCTCATTTTTTTTTTTTTTTTGGTTTTTTTCGAGACAGGGTTTCTCTGGTTTTGGAGCCTGTCCTGGAACTAGCTCTTGTAGACCAGGCTGGTCTCAAACTCACAGAGATCCGCCTGCCTCTGCCTCCCCAGTGCTGGGATTAAAGGCGTGCGCCACCACCGCCCGGCTGGATTGGCTCATTTTAAGGGCATTTACTATGGTTGGTTATGTCAAAGGCGGGACAGGCGAAGGACAGGGAAGCACCTGCAGGCTGTTGGAAAACACCTAAAATTCTAGTCAACAGGCAGGGTAGGGTCAAAAACATGTTTTCTTCAGCCACCATACCCTGATTTATGTGACTGGGGATGAAGCTCAACCCAGGGTTTTCTGCATGCTGAGCTAGTACTGTACCAACTGAGGCACACCTGGTTTCTCAAGGCATGGTTTACCCGAGAAAAAGGTGAAATCTTCCTGTCAGGAAGACTCCTTCACACATGGATCCTCCTTATGGGCACGCTTATGAGAAGGCAAGTTGATCAAGACATTTGGCAGCTCTTACCATTCCGTGTCAGATCGTGTGTGGTACGGTGGCCGGAGGCAGGCAAGAGAAGTAAGGCCCGGAATGGTCGGTCATTCATTATCATTTCTCATCCGTTTGTTCATTTTACCACAGTTCTTTACGTCAAGGCCTCCTATGTGACAAGATTGCAAAGGTGACGTCTTTGCTAAGCAGAACCAGAAGGCGATGGCAGATTCCTGCAGAGTACTTTGGCCTCAAAGCTGAGTGAAACCCAGCAGAGGTGAGCTGGTTTTGTTGTTTGTGTATGGGTGTTGTTTTGTTTTTGAGACAGGGTCTCACTCTGTAGACCAGGCTGGCCTTAAACTAGAGTGTTTGGATTAAAGATGTGTGCCCCCATCCCCAACCTTGTTTCTTTTTTAAATGTACTTGTGTGTGGGGCGGGGAGTGCACAAACATGCACGCACATGCTACCATGCATGTCTGGAGAACAGAGGCCAGCTCTGTGGAGTTGCTTCTCTCCTTTCACCTTTCTGTGGGTTCTGGGACTCAGACTCAGGTCTCTGGGCTTTTGTGACAAGTGCTTTTCCCTCCTGACCCATCTCATATGCCCAGGGGTGAGTTTCGATACGTAGACTGCTGAAGAGAGAAAAGTGGGAAGGATGGCAGGCCTAAAATGGAGTGAGGGAGCACCCCTGAGTATGGAATTCGTGGAGGTAAGATGCTTTGAGAGCCCCCAGTGACCCTGTCTCAACAGTGGCTGGCCATGGGTGTTCACAGTGTGACACTCTAGTGGGTCACTTAACTGAGGGCCATCTGAGGTCTAGTACTCTGACCAGGTCACTCTTTATACTGAAAACTTGTTTATATTGGCAGACACCCTGTGGCTCTTATCTGCTTCGTGTCTAGTTTATCAGTCACTGGCACTAGGAGCGGGGCCGTATTCTCCCTGTGAGTGGGGAGGACATACGCTGGGGTGTCATGTAAGAGAACAGGGTGCATATCAGTTCATTCATTCAGTCCTGGAAATGAAACCACGACCATAAGCCCTTGTGCTTTTGACTTTTTTTTTTTTTTAATGATTAGAGAGTTTGCCCAGCATAGTTGGTACCTTTAGTCTTAGCACTTGGGAAGCAGAGACAGGTGGGCCTTTGTGAGTTCGAGGCCAATCTGGTCTACAAAACGAGTTCCAGGACAGCCAGGACTGTTGTACAGATCAATCCTGTCTTGAAAAACAAAAACAGGGGTGAAGAGGTGGCTCAAATGTTAAGAGCACTAACTGCTCTTCCAGAGGTCCTGAGTTCAATTCCCAGCAACCACATGGTAGCTCACAACCATCTGTAATGAGATCTGGTGCCTTCTGGTGAGCAAGCATACATGCAGACAGAACATTGTGTGCATAATAAATAAATAAATAAATAAGTAAATAGATAAATCTTAAGAAAAACAAAAAACTGGGAAGTCTTGTTAAGTTTTGTGGGAATGATTTCTTATTAATAAAGAGGGCCTCGGCCCTCATAGGACAGAAAATTAGGTAGGCGGAGTAAACAGAAGAGAATTCTGGGAAAAAGAAGCTGAGGAGGAGTCGCCATGATTCTCCCGCTCCAGACAGACGCAGGTTAAGATCCTCCCTGGTAAGCCAGCTTGTGGGCTACACAGAATATTAGAAATGGGTTAGAACAATATGTAAGAGCTAGCCAATAAGAAGCTGGACCTAGCCGGGCCAGGCAGTGTTTGAAAGAATACAGTACCCAATAATCCAAGACCTCCAAGTGTGCAATGCAACAGATGGAAAACTTCCTCAGAAAAATAACTTTATAAATCATAAAAAGCGATCACACACACACAAAAAAAGCTGGGCAGTGGTGGTACACGTCTTTAATTCCAACACTGGGATTAAAGGCAGAAGCAGGTGGATCTTTGTGAGTTTAAGACCAGCCTAGTCTACAGAGTGAGTTCCAAGATAGCCAAGGCTACACAGAGAAACTCTATCTTGAAAAACTAAAATAAATAAATAAAAATCAATTACTGTTCTGAACTATGACTTCTTCCAGATCTAGGTACGGAGTGAGAGAGAAACAGCTGTTCCACCCTCATGTTTGCCCTCGACACAGACTACTAGACCCCTCCACAGCTCACCACAACCAGCATTTAATTTCTCTCAGAATTAGTAGTGTTGAAAACATTTAAAACTCCTGCTCCCTTTCATTTGAGCCGGACTAGGTGTGAGCTCTCCGTCCTGCTAGAGTCAAAATGGTGGAGTACCAGTGCGCACCACTTTGCCCAGCTCTTTTGTTTGGTGTGTTGATCGGTTGTAGTTTTTGTTCTTCGAGATAGGGTTTCACCGTGTAGCTCTGGTTGGGCTGGCACTCACTATGCTGGCCTCGAACTCACAGAGATTCTCCTGCCTCTGCCTCCCAGATGTTGTGATTAAAGGTGTGCAACCCTGGCCCAGCAGCTCCTTGTCCAGCTCTTGCTGGCTGTGTCTTTTTTGGGAGAAATGTCTATTCAGAGCCAGGTGTGACACCCTGTCTCAAAGAAAGGAAGGAGAGAGACATATATATAGATAGATAGATAGATAGATAGATAGATAGATAGATAGATAGATAGATAGATATACATATATATGTATATATATATGTTCATTTCCATCATGTTTATTATGTCTGCGTTGGGGAAATCACCCTTCGGATTAAACCTGTGGAACACTATCGTGTAGTTGCTTCTTCTGGGCACAAGGGGGCAGGAAGAAGACGCAATGTTAGCTTCTCAGAGACAGGCTCCAGGGCACAAGAATATGGGTCCCAGTTCTCTGGGCAGCCAGACTTTACTGTCTGTGAGGGAGAAGGAATTTTCCTTTCCTTTTCTTGGTGACTGGAGGTTTTTCCAGTCTGTCTTTTTACTGGTGGAGCCCTTTGGGGATCTTGCTCACTTTCTGAGTCTTGGATGCAACTTTCCCATGGTCTGGGAACTCAAGGTGTAGTGCGTCGTTCCCAGGTTCTCTCCACAAGGTTCTGTGTGTCCCCGGTGGTGGATTCAGCACTCACCTTAGGAGGCAGCCTCAGCCCCACATCCTGGCCTCACAGCCTCTATTTCTGGGATCGTGGGAGGTTTCTTCATTCTTTATCAGTTAGCAAGGCTTTGGCTGTTTGTAATAATTATCTGAAATCTTGTTGCTTATAGAAAACAGCGCCATTAGAGTACTGGTCTTCCAGAGAGGGAGTTAGGAAAACCAGTTTTTGTTTATTAATTCATTCACTCATTTTGTTAAAACTTTTTTTTTGTTTGTTTGTTTTCTGAGACAGGGTCGCTTACCTAGCCGAGGACAACCTTGAACTTCTGATCTTGCCTCTACCTACCTAGTGCTAGGATTACAGTATAAAGTCATCATGCCCCAGGTATGTGATACTGGCAATCAATCCAGGGCTTTAATGTGCACACAAGCACTCTACCACCTGCGCTGCATCCCTAGACTCTCAAAACTATCAGCTGGACAACCCTCTTTGCAGCTCTAGTTTTAATGACAAGCAATTAGGGGTGGAGTCTCTGCTCCATGGAGTTCATGGGCTAGAGAGACAGATACAATCAGAATCACAGAAGACACTCAGAGGTGAACATGTAATTACAGACCGAAGAAAATCAGTGACATGAGAAACATGTCCAGTGGTCCTCGCCCACACCCGCAGCTTCCTCTGAGAACTTACCCTCCAAAAACCTTCTGAGTCAGAAACTGAAGTTAGACTCCACAAGCTGTACTTGAACAAACCCTCCAGGCACTTCTGAATCATCCCACAGCCCAAAGAAACTAAAAGACATTTCAAAGAGCCTAGAGCTGAAAGAAGGGGAGGTACACCTCAGAGAGAAGAATGTGTGCCAATGTCTTGTGGTGGGAGAGGGCCACATGTGTTTAGCAGAAGTAGGTTAAGACATTCATCAAGAACAAATGTTGGGGGCTGGAGAGATGGCTCAGAGGTTAAGAGCACTGACTGCTCTTCCAAAGGTTCTGAGTTCGATTCCTGGCAACCAC